TAGAAATAAGATATTATTTTTGTTCTTTTGAAGCATGAAGAATGCACTAGCTATAATTATTTTCTACAGGAGTTTAGTCAATGTTGTAAAGACAAGCCCGCCTTTTTTTAAAGGGAGCATATTCTATGTTAAATAAATAAAGAGGAGACTGAGGATATTTGGGTTAACGTGGACATTATGTTCAGAAATAATGTGTTGAAGAAGGACATGAACGTCTAATCTGACTTTTTAAGACTGATATTAAATGTATGTCGAAAAGAGATGACGAGCGCACGTGTTTTCTGCCTTGCTGCTGATGGTGATGATGAAAACACAGAGATACACAATACAGACAAAAATACTGGGTTACAGATCATTTTCAAGGCACTCAACAAAAGCATGAGGTTGTGTTTCTTGGCTGGAATGGGTCTCTTAAACCTTTTGGATATTTTGCACAATTCCATGATTCTGACTTTGTGGAAACAGTTTGGGAGAAGGCCCTTTTTTGTTCGAGCACGACTTTTCCCAGTGCACAAAGCAAGGCCCGTTAAGCTATGATAGCTTGACTTGCAGACACAGAGCCCCCCTTGTTTTTTTACAGGAACCCCACCCCCGGCACAAAAACATCCTCCAAACATACACAAACATATTTGTTTTCAGTCTCCATTGCAGTGTATTCACACCTCAAACCTTTTGTAAACAGTTAAACAAATAAAAGTAAAGTGCAATAAATTACAGGCTGCAATAAAATAAACCACTAAACAATTAATCTTCATGGTGTAATTATTTTTACATTGTTTTTTACTGTGTAATAATATTCAACATTGCTTTGGGAACCACTGCTGTAGGTGTACAGCATGGTGGCATGTTGGTTAGCACTGTTTCCGCACAGCAAGAAGGTCCTGAGTTCAATTCCACCACAGGGTCTTTCTGTGTGGAGTTTGCATGCGCTCCCCGTGTTTGCATGGGTTCTTTCCGGGTACTCCAGCTTCCTCCCACAGTCCAAAGACATGCAGTTTGTGGGGATAGGTTAATTGATTAATCTAAATTGCCCTAAAGTGAATCTGTGAGTGAATATGAGTGCGAATGGTTGTTTGTGTCTCTTTGTGTTAGCCCTGCGACAGAATGGCGACCTGTCCAGGGTGTACCCTGCCTCTTGCCCTATGACAGCTGGGATAGGCTCCAGCGCCCCCAATGACCCTGGAAAGGATAAGCGGAAGCTTATGGATAGATGCTGTAGGTGACCCAATACTTTTGGTCATATAGTCTATTATAGTCTATTTCAATATTAGTGAAATACCATCTGTAAAAAATTTACTATTTTGTGTAATTTCTGCTTAAAAAGTGTGAAATGACTCTGGCAAATGTCTGAGTGTTTACGGTTGTTTGTGTTGTTTAGCAGAAGGAATAAAACTGAGGAGCGAAAAGTGGAAAGCTGTGCTGTCTCTCGTTTATCTGTCACTGTCACTTACTTTAATTCATTTGGATTAAATCCTTAAACCTTGTCTCTGTGCAGTCTGACATTGTGCAGACGTCACCATCAGATCAACTGTGAGATGCCCTTTTCTGCAGTACAGCACCTCAAAAACAAACAAAAAACAGCTAAACTACTGTTTTGCTTGAGGCATTCCTTATCAGCTCGAGGCAAATGCTGAAGCCTGTCTCATTTGTTTTCTTTTTCCTGCCATATAAAGATGTGTCTCCCATCTAGTCCTTTAAGTGTTGACATAGTTATCTCACAGGAAGTCACACATGTGAGACAGAGACACGTGTGCAGAAGGCGCCATGAACTATCTCTCATGTGATTCTCTATTTGTATTTCAGTCCTTTTTGTCTGTAGTGTGAAAGTTGAGACAGAGAAAGTGTTGCTGTCAAAGTGTTAATTTACTCCTAAGACAAAGCTCCACGAGAATGTGTTTTACATTTTACAAAAGGTCAGGTAGTTCTCCACAAAACCTGTTTGTAATGTTAAAAATATAAATGTTAGGCAAACAAAACAACACTACAGTGCTTTGTCTGCCTACATGGCTATATTAACCTGCTGAGGCCTCAGGGGGAAACATTTACTGCTTTGCTCCCGTTAACTCTTAAAATACAATTAGCCTCGTCATTAACCCAAGTAGCCATTATGGTTAAAAAGAGCCTGTTGTCCTTGTTTTTGATCACATTATTTTGCAATAGCGGATGTTCATATTAATTATGGGCAACATTAAAAAAAATGTTCAGTGGGTGTTCAATTAATCCCTTTAAACCAAAGGTTCAGGTTTTAGACCGCTATAAACTCTCTCTTTGAGTCTTTTTTTTTTAACTCTCAGCTGTATGTGATGCCATAGAGAGCAACAATCACTACTATAGTTATCTAGGACGCACAGCTTTTAATGGGGGCACAGAAGCCCCACCCAGCAGCTTCTTGCAAGAGTTTCTATAGGGTCCAGGAATTTAAAAAATTTGAAGCGATAACTGAGTTTTGTTCTTCTACGTCCTCACTGTGCATTTTTTTAAGGTAATTTTTTTTTATATTTCTGTCCATGTAATCTAGGTTTCTATGTTTTTGGGGTGTAAGTGTGTATGTTCTTTTATTCTTTTCTTTTTTTTTCTTTTTTAAAATCTCCTACTTTTGATTAATGTCAGACTGGTTTAATCAAACTTAGTGTTAGTATCTAGAGTTTTTGTTTATATCTTGTTATCATAATTTCATCTCTGTGTTCTGTGATTCCCTGTTCAGGTGTTCCTGTTTTATTTTGGTAGTCATTTGTTTTGTGTGATCTATTTACGTTACTTGCTTTGTCATCACTTTCATTAATTTTAGCAGAGTACCTCATTTGCTTCTCGGTCTCCTTCCAGTGTTTGTCAAAGTGTCTAATCTCGTTTTAATGTGGTGGTCACATTTGGACATTCTCGGATTCTAGTTTGCTTTCATCACTCGACCATTGCACTTCGTAGGCTTTAGTTTTCTGTCTAAATAAAAAAAAAAAACTTTCTTTGTTTCTTGTTTACTTATTCAGTCTCTGAGTTTTGGATTCGAACCATGCCTCATCATAACATGAGCAATATTAGGGCTGAAACTTTCGAGGTTAAATGATCAGTACTGAAGATTAAGGTCTGTTAGAAAATATCCAGTAAAACTGTTTTTTATAGATGCAGCTGTGCAAATTAAAAATAAAAAACTTAAGACTGAATTTAACACGAAACTACCAACATGTGTGCAGATAATCGGGTTCTTAAGTACCATTAATGTGAGTGTGTTGTGAGTAAATTCATCAACTTTAGGGCCTCCCCTCACCCTAATCCATATAAATAAAGCTGTTTAAATTCATAGTTCTGGCTGGTTTAATTTTTATGACAATGGTGGCGAGATCTCAAAGGCACTATTCATTATAGCCATATGAAAACAAAACAAACATTCACTCTAACACACCAAGGGATAGTCGAATGCCATTGAGAGCATCCTCACTGGATGCATCACCACCTGGTATGGCAACAGCACCGCTTACAACTGCAAAGCTCTCCAGAGAGTAGTGCGGTGCTCTGAACGGATAATTGGAGGTGAGCTTCCCTCCCTCCAAGACATCTACAGGAAGCGGTGCCTGAGGAAACCGGGGAGGATCATCAAGGACTCCAGTCACCCCAGCCATAAACTGTTCACACTACTTCCACCAGGAAGGAGGTTCTGCAGCATCCCGTACCAGCAGACTGAGAGACAGCTTTTTCCACCAGGCCATCAGACTGCTGAACACTTCATAGACACCTCACCCTTACTACTGGAACTTCAACATTATGCACTCCACACTGTGTATAAATGGCACTTGTTTTGCACATGTTCAACTACAAACCTCTGTATATATTTTATATATTTTATTGTTTACTCTATTTAATTTGTAAAATATGTATATACACACGTACACACACACACACACACACACACACACACACGTAGAAAAACATATTTAGTATACACATCCAGTAATGCATACACTCTTATATTGTACATATATTTATTACTCTCAGATTTAGCCATTCTTATATTTTGCTTGTTTTATGTTATTGTATTTTTTTTGCACACCTCTCTTGCTTGTGAAGCTCGCACACAAGAATTTCACTCGCATGTACTGTACCAGTGTACCTGCACATGTGATGTGACAGTAAAAGTGATTTGATTTGATTTGAATGGAGTTTGGTTAAGGAGAAACTGAAGTCATCTGGAAACATATTTAAACAGACTTCATTTCTAGAACAATTACAGGGCAGTCTGAGAAATATTGTAGTAGTATATCACAGGCTCCTATAGTTCCCAAATGCCATTGTAAATTACATCTACATTTAAAAGCATTTAAAGTACAGCCCTTCAGTGAACATTGCTGAACACTCTTTCCCACTATTATTGGTAATTGTTTACAGAGTGATAATATATTAGCTGGCTAAATTTATGGCCTGGTCTCATCTGCAGCTTAAAAACAAAATGAACAGAAACTCATAAATGTGAGTGCCAAAAACCACTGGAATGAAATGCATGACATTAAAATATGGGCCAATTACAGCCCAATTAAGTTTCTAAGACTTCAGCTGACTGAACTACAGATAAAATTACTGAAGCTTCTTTTTTTTTTTCTTCCTTCTCTTTATGGGGATATACACACAGGTTTATTTCAGTTCAGAGATAAATTACTTTGACTTGTATTAATTCTTGAAAACTAGCTACAGGTTACCTAAAAAGAACCTAAATTAACCTAATAAGCTCATAACTTATGTTTAATTAACATAAATCAAACCTGATCTAAGAACCTATACTTGAACCTATTGTTGGATTTTATCTCCTTGCTTTTTCTCAACAAAGCCGAGAAGGCCTAACCAGATATATCTGGAAACTCTTTGCTGCCATTTTGCAAAATTTTAAAGACTCAACTCTGCAACATGCCTGTAACACAAACACACCCAAAAAACCGCACCGTTAGAAAGAAAAAAATGTTTTTTGGGTGGTAAAAAAAATCTCCTCTCTCGCCAAGCCCCTCCCCTCCCGGTGGGTGGGGTCTCTGTTCTGCATCATCATGCCCTCAGCTCTGCTGCTCCTCTAACAGAAAGGAAGAAAATCTAACTGGTGTCTGTTGCAGCTGCTGCTCCTTCGTGTAAGTGCTTTTCGGTTTGTTCTTCTCGGACCTTTGTGCGGTTTTACCGGCCGTTTACTGGCTCGTTATGCGTCTAAAGCCGTGTATCAATCATTCTGAGTAACGGCGTGTTCGTAACTCGGGCTAGAAACTTCTTAAAGTTTCCACCAAAACTTAACGCATTTTGAAGCCAGGTTTACTCCGGATTGTGCTGTTTTTCTCTTGGCGTGGATTGCTTGTTTGTGTTGTGATTTTTAAAGGAAAGGAAAAGGCGTGAGATACTTTAGAAGGAGGCAGATAACGTTGGGGGGTGGGTTGGGGACAAATACCTTCAGACTTGAGGTCTGTACTTTTCTATTTTTGTAGCTGCCCGTCTGCTGCTGGGGGACATGCAGTTGCAGTTCTTTGTATATCCAATTTTAAGGAACCACAACTTACACAAAGTGCTTCCTTAAAATTATTTTTGGAACTTTGCTCTGGTCTTTATATCTGCATCCCTATCATATTTTAGCTTATTTTTGCTTGTCCTACATAATAATAGCGATTTTCATGGTGGTGTTAGAAGATTCTCATTTGTCAACTTCTATGCCTTTCTGCAGTATTTGATGTACCTTTAGCTATAATGGCCTACTTCATGTATTCCTGAAATATTGCTGTAGTTTATCTGTTTAAACGGACTGATTGTTTTTATTGTACTTTTAATATATTTTACCTAAGGGATGTTTACAGTATGTCTATAGTCTTGTGATCCTGTGTGTTGTAGCTTGCCTCATAGACTTTACTTATCGCTCATATTACTCCTGTAATATTCATTAGCTTGTCAGAAGTCTGTCCGCCCACCCATCTATTCATGAGGAAATGAGGACCTTACCAGAAGATTCATGTAATGCCGCCCCCTCAAAGAATATACTAACAGTAACAGTGTGGGACATCCAGTAAAGCCTTCAGTTGGTTCCACACAGAAGCGTCATCAAAAACTGTACAAGTTACTTAGCCTTCATAATGCTTAGTCAAGCAAAATAATGTATTTGCATGATAGTTTTACAAGTAAACCAATGTAAACCGGTGTCCTTATTTACAACCCTGAGGATAAATACTGATAAGCATGGAGCGAAGAATGTAAAAGTAAAAAAAAGTCTAGTTGTAGCTTGTTGTACACCACGCTATTGAAAAAAAGAACTTCTTTGAATAGGAAGTTAAGGAGAAATGTCAGGCATACATACATAAAATGTATATTTAATAGTACTTCTCTGTTATGCTGCGCTCAGTTTGGTGTATTTACACGTAGCTGCACTCTACTGTGTTATTTTCCTCCCACATCTAACTTCAGTGTATCGCTAGTCTGTAGTTATCTTACTGAGAGTCTTTATAGATTACAGTTGGTGGTGCTCGGCTGCTTTGTGTGCATTTAATGTGTTCTTGGAGTGGAGTTGGCCTGTTGTCTGCTAGTGCTTTAACAATATTATATTATGTGTTGAGGTTTTCTTGGTGTATTGTTGCCCTACTGTAGAGTTCAGCGTTAGTGTTACTGGTAAAAGAGCATCAAGTGTTTATATAGCGCAGCTGCTGTAATATTTGTGCTGTTGACAGTGTGGCCTGTTTTGACTCCAGGTTGTTATCATCTCTGTGATATTAGCCTGCTGGTAGCCTGCGATTGTCTGTGCGTAGCACTTCTTCATTACAGCGTTTCCTGTTGACATCCTGGAGACAATCAGCAGTTTTGTCCCAGACACCTTATCAACATAAATCTAATTATTAATCCTCAGGACATTTACCATTGCAGCAAAACACACACAACAGAGCAACTGTGCTAAATATAATTTTTTGTCATCTTCCCCTGGCTGTCAATATTATGCATTGCAGTATCGCTGTAATAGCAGTTAATCACTTAGTTGTTGTTGACATCTCATCATGAAACTTTAGGATCAATAGAAGTTTTCCAGTCAGTTTTAGGGCGATGTGCCTCCTCATCAGCTCACTAGACCAGTGTTTGTTTGCCTCATCACAATCAGGTCATGAACTGTGGCAAACAAATACACAGACCTTGGCGTGGTAGTGTAAAATGCCCCTGGACTGCTGACTATTTGTTGTTTTTGTGTTGGCTCTAATTCTTGGAATGCAGCGGGCTCCGCCTATGCAAGATGAATGTACATATAATAACCCTAAATTCAATTTAATTAAATTAGATCAGCAGAGTGTCAGAGATGCCAGTTGTGCTACTGGAGTCTGTATGATACCTGATGCGTCCCTATTTTCGGTTGTTCTGCAGGTCTTTGGCAAGTAGTATTTGTGGCTTCATCGTGTACCTTTTGTTGTGGTCTCTAAGTTCATGGATCAAAGGAACCCAAGACACTTAAACACAAATAAGGGAGATGGCACCATGGCAAAATCAAACAAAAGAGGGAAAAGGCCTGGAACCAACCGGCATTCAGGCTTATCCTCCAAGTTAATGTCAGTAAGCAGAAAAAAGGTCTTGCAGTAAGTTCTAAATTAAATAATAATTAAACAACACTACAAAAAGTAACTGAAGGGAAAGGCCAGTGCTGACGGGAGAGAGACCACTTGCCCCTTGGTGAGAGAATTTAAAAGAAGAAGAAGAAAGCAATCAGAGGGTGAAGGGACAAACACATCAAGACTTCTACAAATTATTTTGAACTGACAGGGCTCAGAATATATTACTTTCAAGGTCACTGTGTTCCATACAGTCCTAGCATTTTACCATAACCGATTATGTATGTATGTATTTGTAAACTAGCTGTTGATTTACAGAAGAAGGGCACGGACATATAGCCATGTCTATGATACTGACTGTCTTGTATTTAATTTTACAGTCCCAGTTATTATTGCTCTCCTGCTTTGCATTGTTTATAGTCAAATGGTAGAACAAAAAAAAAAAATCAGTGCTTTATGTTCAAAACTTCAAAGAAGTGACAGAATTGTGGTTCATTTTATATCGAGGACTCGCTACAGCCCACTTTGATCATAGGTGTGCCAGACCAGTAAAACTCCCCGTGTAATTATGTTTGGGACTGTCTGTGATATTTATGTTTATGTGACAACTGAAATGGTACGCTTGAATGTAATGTAATGTAATGATAGTCAGTGGAGCAGGTTGTGTGGTCATTTAGTGTTTTTTTTTTTTTTCTTTTCTTTTTAGACTGGGTTGGGGCTAAAGTAATTATAGAGGCCTGACTAAATCTGAGTCAGTTTTTACAGACTCACTGTCTGCTCATTTGCCTGAATCCATTTTCATTTCCTCACCAAACATTCAGAGTAAGAGGAATTTTGTGTGGCAATACTTAATGCTGAATAGATGTTGTCTTTTTATAAAATGGACTGTCAGACTACAAGGACAGCCATTATGTAGAAAAACAGGACAATGACACGTTTAGGTTCAGTAAAAATATGTAATAAGGGTCCCACCCCCAAAAAAAATCATGCCTGTGAGTCAAGGCTTCCTGTACCGGATATGAGAGCAAGCTTTTTTTTTTTTAGCCTCTCTTCTTTCTGTGCTGTATTGCTGTTAAAATGTGCTGTGTGTATAGTCGATCGTCTATCTTTGTGAGGACCGCTGTAAGTTACATTTCTGAAAGTCAGAATGTTTTTTTTCCTCAGTAGGGACTGTTTGAAGATAAATACAAGGTTTTAAATTTGGAGTTGGCGTGTTTTATGAAAGACTAGGGAATGCGTTTCTGACTGTTGGTGTAGTGTGTAATTCACGAGGATTGTACAAAGTGCAATTTTAGGACATCGTGGCTGATCCTTCCTTCTTCAAAGAGATGTTTAAGGGTTCAGACTTGGACCCAAGGAATTAATTTTATATCAGTCACTGTCCTCTCAAAGGCTCAAAAACGCACGTATGGCTTTTACCTTCACAAACTTTTAAGAGCTTGACACACTTTCTTTCCTAATTCAGTTCAGCTATACTTCTGAAAATGGCAGAAATAAAGTACTGTCTCTGTTATACTTAAGGAAACTTAAATACTCCTACAATCCTGGTATCTAACAAAGGATTGTGCTTAGTGTTTACTTTGTTCCTTTGTGAATGAACAGTGTGCATCAACAAGGTGCTCAATATTCATTTTAGATGGAAGTTCACACATTGATCAGGAGTCAGTGAGTTCAACAAGAAAGAATTAGGCCTTTAAAATGAATCAATAATGGCATTAAAAGTTATTCTAACCATATCAATGTAAATTCATGGTAATCATATTATTACTGCTACAGTAAACCGGTATGTGGATCCAGATTTGGACGTGGCGGATGTCTCTCCTGAAACATGTAAATTTGCGTGTAAATACAGGAACACAGGAAGGTTAAACAAAACTTTGGACTGTTGAATATCTTATCTGTCGGGATCAGTAGCCTATTGGTCAACAGTTTTGTATTGAAGTGAAGCAGTTTAGTTAGCTATATCACAGGAAGAAACTGACAATACAAGAAATCATCCAAAAATAAAACGGTTTATAAAGAAAAGCAGAAATTATCAATAATACCTTAATTTGACTTATTTTTCTTCTTAGTATTTTCACCTTTTTTTACATTAGAGGAAGCATATGAGGCTCTGCAGTTTTAACAAGAATATAAAAGAGAGGGGGAATTGTTAGTGATATGAAAGACTGTGGGGAAGGCAACAGCTGCTGTGTGCAGGGCTCAAGAGTGCAAGATTTTAACTTAAATTTGCAACTACAAACAAGTGTTTGTAGTTTTGCTTTTTCCCCTCTAACTAAAATGTTATATTGACGGTGTCACAGTCATTAGAGCTGTTCTTTATTATATACAAAGTGAAACTTTCCCAGAGTCTGTAACAGCTGAGCTCATTAGTACAAGTGTAATGAAACTTTTGTGAGCCAAAGAGTTTATTACATCAGAGGATCTGGTCTGATCGTATCAAGTAGACGGAACTTACTTTTCCACGGGTCTCGACAAGGCCTTGTTCCTTTTTACAGAAATTTGAGAAAGCAAGCAGCTGTTGCTTTGTCAGCTGACTAATTTGCTTTATCAACATGGAGCTTTAGACT